TTCAAACTTTAAAAACATTATACTTACTGCAAAAACTAATTTTAAAGAACATTGTGATTCAATTTTTAAATGTCAAGAAAAAAAGAATATTTCTGAAGTTTATTCATAAAACGAAAGCAACATCATCCCTGGTAGTTGATTATTTTTTTATTATTACAATTATGTTATATAAAATTTATAATAATATGAAATAGCGTTTACCTACTATAATAGTAATTTACGAGCAAAAGAACATTTAATAACTAACAAATATTATTGAATAATTGTAAGTGTTTCTAAAAACGATTCACGATACCATTAAGTAAAGAATTTATTACCTAAAATTTGAGAATCATTGAACCTTTAATTCATCTAGTAGCTTTTGAAATAAGTATTACATATACATAACAATTTACATATAAAGTGTATGAAATAGTTTCAACAAAAATATCTACGTCTTACAGGCTTGCATAATATTACTTATATTTTACTTACAAAAATTTTCGACGATTTTCGACGATTTTGCTAATCACTCCTTTTATATTTGAAATCTTATATTATTTTCAAATATAATTATTAAAATGGTTAACGCACTCTTCCAAAACCGTAATTTGTTTCAAAATTCTAATTACGTTTTTGACGTCCAGTTTCTTATGCGCAAATAAATAACGTGAAGATCAAAAATCTTCACACGAGACTTGAAATTGCTAAGGAAACAAATATTAAGGTGGGGATGTAGATGCCTTCTAGAAAATTCACGGACATAAGTATTCAGTAGAGTAAGAACCTTCACTCTTAGTTTGGATTCTCATCTAAAAACATCAGAGTGGATCTAGTTGAGCTATGACTTTTGATTGGTAGAATCCGATCTCACCTATTGGACTATTAATGAAAATTTAAATTAAAACTTTTCTTGTTGCATTTTTGCAGGTGCAAAATAAAATCAGGAGAATTGTGTTGGTATGTATATTCTCGCTATCAAAAATTACCCATACAATTTATGATTTCTAAAAGTTACTAGTTAAAATGAATGCTATTTTTAGATCAAGGCTGCTTAATCAGTGCCAGACAACACTCTAGTGACATTCCCCTCACAGAAAGTTACCCTCTCCATACCTACTTTTACCTATTTGTATTGAACACTAAATACCAATCTCGGGCAGCTCCTACGGATAGAGGTATAACCTAGTAGGAAAAGTGCTGAAGTTACCAGCTTGAAGGGAAGCATTCGTACCTCTTTTCTAGGAACTATTGGAGACTGTTACGTGAGCAAATCTACTTTGTGTTATTTACGAGAAGAACCCCGAAAAGAATGCGGTTGACATTGGTCAGCTTTCATAAATATTTTCTCATCTCATTTTCGATACTAATTTGCTATTGATTATTATGTTACACTTAACCAATCAAAACCATAAACAAAATCCCTAGCGAGAAACCTTTCTTGCCCCTGTATTGTCACGGAATCTTCTCATGAACAACGCTCTATATTTAATATGCAAACACAGATGAAATTATATACGGAGGGGAAAAACCCTAAATGATTGGCGAACAACCGATTCAACATTCCTGAATTATACATACGATTGAAATGCAAGGTCGCCAATTTAGAGGTTTTTTTTCAATATTTTCAGTCTTGTTAAGCGGGAATTCCAATGGTTTTTAAATCACTGAACATCAACTTTATAGGATTTTCATCGTTACAAAAAATATTTTCAGTTATAGATGTTACAAATAATTTTAAATATTATTATGGATATTTTATCCGTCTTCTATGTAACAATATAAAGATAATAACAATATAAATAACAAAAGCAGAATTTCAAATGGAATAAGTGTAAAGTGGATGACTCTTCTGATTACAATTGAATTAAGGAATGAAGTAGTCAAGTAATTATAAGATGCGTTTAATGTCAATCCAATTCTAGAGTTGATTGAAATAATGAAATTTTTCATTATTCTTTTATAACGTACAAAATGCACAATTGGAAAGAATTTTCAACTGCATAAATATTGTGAAGTTCAAAACTATGAAATTAAATGGAATTTACTAATAATATTCTCACAATAAGAGTAGATTAACTCAGCATTAAGAAATGCTACAGGAATGATCAGAGGCCAAAGGTTTTAAAGAAAATAAAAATTTTGACTGTCCTTAGGAATGAAGGTGAAGAAAAAACTTCAAGTATTTATTTCATAATCGCAGCACTATTTTTTGATAGATGGGGATGACCCAGAAAACTTCCTATTTTGAATGAGTTATATATTAAAAATAGTTTCTCCTTATTAAATATTAATTGTATGTTACAAATAAAATTAATTTCTGGGTATTAAAATTTGGAGATCTTTTTTAAATTCGCAGGATTTCAGTAGCCATCTAGCGGGATTCCATTAACACCTGTAGATGACACTGTAGATATGATGAACGTGATCATTATAAATACGTGTATAAAAACTATGAGTTACAGCCAAAATTATTATTTATTATTTAATTAAAAAATTATCATTTATATATTTTAAAAATTATAACACATCTTACCTACTTTTATCTTATGAATGCCCTCGTGTGATCTTTTTTACAATATATCGACAACAATTTTTACCAAAAATTGAGGAGAAGTTTGGCAGAGTACTTCAGAAAAATGTAACTAATGTTAATACTAACCGTACCGATACTTTTCCTGACATAACCAGTCAAATAAATGACTATAAAATAAAGGTAAACAAGCTAAATGATAAATTTTTTTAGTGGAAAACAAAATGTTTATTAATTGAACAATATAGAAATTGATATAAAGTTAAATGAACCAAAGAAAACGCAGGATTTTAAATTCGATCATTTCACTGGTTCCCGGTACGGTCAGTGTTAATATAAATACACTATTATATAGTACTATTACTTTAAGTAGATGTGAAAAAAAGAAGAAACAAAATAAACAAAGTAAGGAAGACTTACTAACAGACTTACTCTATTAAAAACAAACAACAAAAAATATTACTAATAAAATGTAAACATACCGATCCTATTCGGAAACGCTCTTCAACTGCTATCTACTGTACGTTCGTTGTATATACATATAATCGACGTGATTCAACATGTTTGATACTTTTTTTTTACTGCTATTACCTAGTTATATAAGTACTTACGTCAGCATTTATTTCTAGAAATGCCTATCGAATTTTTTCTTATCGATAACAAAATTAGTTTTTCTATTTTTGTTCATTGGGCGACACACATTTTACTGCGTGATAGCTCCGACTGGCTAAAATCGTTTGGTATGAAACGTATTAATTCTTGTCTGATACATTTTTTAGAATTATCAATAGTTTCGAAGATATTTCAATGAAGCGATTTAAATGGGACACCCCAACATATCGTATAGCTCCTCTTATTAACGAACAAATAACTTTTAAATTTCAAATTCGATTTTCTTCAAAATTAAGTGTTTCAGAATCTAGCTTACGGCAATCTGGAAATACCGTTTATTACTTGTTAAAAAATGAATTATATATCAGGTAGCGTTATCGAAGTTACCGAAGTAGACCGACGCGAATCGGATGAAAATAAGAATATTGGCCATATGTATTACGTTGTTATAGAAATGAAATATTACTTCACACACCTTTCCTACACTTAATCCAATACACCTTCAATTATTTTAAACCGTTGTTTGCCACCAGCACGTGTTAAAATCGAAGCGAACAAGTACGAACGTAACGAATTCGTGGCTAGTCTAAAATACAGGTAATCACCGCATAACACGGCATTTCTATAACACAGTTTCACTCTAACACGGTTTGAGAATTGGGAAAAATCCTTATATAACACAACATCCTAGAACACGGTTCGAGTATTAGTAAAATCCCTGTACAACACTTAAAGTTCTTAAGAGCAAAATTAGAAATTAGAGATATCCCTGTACAATACGGAACAAAATAAGAGTTTTTAAGTGCGCAAAATATCTCACTGGAAATTTTTCATTTGAGCCTGTATGTCGTATCAGATTTGTCTGCAGAGTTTTGAAATTTATTAGAATTTGAAACCCTATTTTGTTTGTGGAGTATTAAGTACATTTTAAAACTCTGTATTTTCTTTTTACTACATTATATATAAATTAAAATTTTTCGTACAGTAATATTATAAATTAAATTAGATGATAGTAATTTTTTGCGTTACAAAAATATTTGGACATTACAAATAATTAATATTATATAAACTAAAATTTAATTTTTAATACTTAGTAGCGTAACCTTTTTGTTTTATCACTTATTTTAATCGTTTTGGCAGACTAAATATAATTTTTTGAGATATTCTGTATTTGTTTTTTCCCATTCGTCTCACAATTTCTGTTTCAATTCTTCTTTATTCCTTATCGGCGTTGTTCTCATTTTTCTGTTTAAATTATCCTATAGATTCTCCATAATATTATACAGTAGATAATCTTGTACGATCCTTGCTTTATGCTTCGGATCGTTGACCATGTTTGAAAGTAGTTCACAAATTTGTCGGATTTAAATCATTTTGTTTACACCACACCATGTACTGTTCATCCGAACCAGATATATTGAATTTAGATTCGTCGATGGAACTGACATCACTCCACCACGACTCTTCCTTCGAAGTCACTTCTTTTGCGAAAGTTGAATGTTTCTTTTTATTTACTCCACTGATGTACGGTTTCTTTATTGCCACTCTCCCATTATAACCACTTTTTTAAGTACTTGTTGAACTGTCTGTGTATTTAAAAATTTCTCCTTTTCTTCTCAAAGTTCAGTTGCTAATGCAGAAGCATTTAGTCTTGGGTTTTCCAAATAATCTTCCGTTTTTCTCTTTCATTTATTATTTGTGGTCGACCACTTTGCGAAAGAGATTCAATTTTGTTTTCATTCTTAAATACATTAACGATATCTGCCACACTATACTTTTTTTAAGATTAAGTATAACAGCGTTTTGTCGATATGATTTTCCTTTTTCGCGATTAAAAATTACTAATTGGCGAAGATTAAATGAAATGTTTTTACTTGTACCAGACGTTTTGACGATAAACGACAGTGTAAAGAGTAAACTGTACGGTAGGACTGACTACTTGGTACTAAATCCGGTGCATCGTCTTTGTAAACAAAGTCACTCTCCGAAACACACATTTCTTCGAACTTTCACATACTATTCGTAAATAAATTGCAAAAGAAATTAACTGTCCAAATATTTGTGTAACGTGAAAAATTACGATAATCTCGTTTAATTTATAACATTACTATACTACATACAGCAAGTTAGGTAATTAAGTTGTACATATTGGTAAAGTACAACAAATACTCTATCGAAAGAAATAAGTTTCAGTTAACTTCTTTCATAATTAACAAAGATATGGGAGGTTAAAGTTAAGCATACCTTAGTGTCCGAATATTTTTGTGGTTCAGTGTAACTGCGGAACGACATAAATCGAGAGGATATAACTCGGGGCCCTACTGTATCTTGTACAATCCTACGAAGAAGATTTACTTATCGAATAATTAAAAAAAACTAATTTTACGTTTGACATCACTTATCAATAAAATGATACTTCTTGACGAACAAAAGAAACTAAAGACTGGCCAAAGCTTCCTTCGACCCCTGGATTTGCGGCGAATCGGATATTTCACATTTTTCAGTTTGAAAAAACTTCGTTTTTCTAAGTTTTTAACCATTGTTTTATTGATATTCAAGCTGAATGTCTATTAATAACAAATTTATAAAAAAAGTTTTTCATTCTCAGTTTTAACTATTAGTTTTTCGCAG